CATTCAGTGTGAGCGACTGCACCAAAACAGAACACAGCGGTCACATTTATAGTGTCTGACTGCATATGAAAGCACTGAATGTTCCATAGAGCCACTACAACTGAAATGTTTCCTACTTTTTTATGCGTGTGTGCTTTATTCAACACTTTAGCTAGCTAATCCACTCTCTTACGTACTTACTTTTAACCCTTACCATCACTTTTCCATCTGGTCTGACATTATATAACAGTGTTTGGTTTCTGTCTGGACAAGTGTATTACAAATGCTCACAGACACAAGTAGGCACAAGCATACACGCACACGCACACTATTTCCTAGCCAATCCCCTGAGACAAGCTGTTCCTATATCCTTTTCTGCCTCCTGTTAATATTTCATCCCCTGACTGAAGGCCTCATGTTTTATTGAGTCAGTTACTGCCATCGGAGAGGATGCACTACATTATGCACCATCATTTATAAATGACCGCCAATCAATGTCTACCCATACACATAACACTCACTAAACAGGCTCAGCTTGTCTCTCTGCCAACGCTGATTGCTCTTGGAAATTGATATAAACACCTTCATCGTCCCAAAACAAACTCTTCGTTCCCAACTTAGCTGGAGGAGATGAGTTACATGTGGCTTGATGAAAGTTAAAGTTAGCAGGAGCAGCTCTCACACGCTCATAATTCACACGTAGGGGGAATTCTCTTCCCACTGCTTTACTTTGCTCCTCTTAATGTGAACCTCTGACATAAATATTTTACTTTGTTCTGTTTTTCTACCCTGCTTGGCTTGTGAAAGGCACACACTTGCTTATGCACGCACACACCAAATCACAGACAAACTGAAAATGAAACCCACATGAGGTGTGAACGATGGGCAACACCGCCAGATAGTGAAAACCTACAGAAGCATTTGGACACGTCTTGTTATCGACAGAGCAATTTATCTCTTGGCAATTGTGTTTGCTTCAGTTAATGCGAACTCCTGACAAAAGTCTCTTGCCTCACCCTGCTTCTCCAAACACACACGCACGCACGCACGCACACACGCACACACGCACACACGCACACACACACACACACACACACACACACACACACACACACACTCACAAACGCTTACACTTGGTGATGGCACTTTTAGTCTCCATAACTTGGACCTTGATCACTGTAATCAAACATAGGCAGCATCAGCCTGAAGCTGCCGTAATTATGGGCTGCTGGAGCCCCTGCACGAGGAGCGCACCCGCCTGCACGCCGGTAGACAAACGCACTTTCAAACACACACACACACCCCCACACACACACACACACACACACACACACACACACACACACACACACACACACACACACACACACACACACACACACACACACACACACACAAAGACACACCGGGCTGTGTGTGCGCAGTCAGCACAGACGGAGCCTCGGTAAAGGACACTAATGAGTCCAATGAGATTGAGGGGAAAACAGCTCCCGAAATCTACACCACAGTAAAACACCTCAGAGAGACGGAGTAGAGGGAGGAGGGGGTGAGGGAGGGAGGATGAAGGGTGAGGGAGGGAGGGGCTTTTGAAGTAAACCGCAGAAAAAGAGAGAGAAAAGGAAGAAAAGGGGAGATAAAGATAGAGAGAAGGAGGGAAATAACTGACGTTAGCGATGGTGGTGGTGGGTGGTGTGTTGCCAGGGCCCTAGTGGAGATGTTGCCAGCTGTAACCATGGTAACAGGTTCCCATGGTGCATGTGTGGTGCAGCCGGTGAGTGTCAGCTGGGGGTGTGGGGTGTTAAGTGTGTGGAGGGGGGAGCAGTGTAAGTTTTTTTTTGTTTCTGTTTAGCAAACGTCCCACCTTTATCAGCTGCCCAGCAGAGGAGGGCCTTATGTAAGCTCTGTTTTAACGACGCCGCCTATAAAAATATATGGTCTGGTTACATAAAATATAATATCTTTACTAACATGGGATTGGCAACAGGAGGCGCACTGATTGGAACGCTGTACCAATGAGCTTGCAGTCATTTAGTGGCCTCGATGAATGAAAGCCCGGGGCCAGTGTTGGTCCGGATCTGCAGAGGCCCGCAGCCAATGACTTGATGTTTGCATGTTTCAAGCCAATAGAGAGCCGAGATTATTTCAACTCTCTGAGGTCCTGCAGTGATGTCACCATCTAGTTCAAAGTCAATGAAAAAAAATTGCTAATTAATTATTGTGTTGAATCAGTTACTAAAATGGGTAAACTTTCCATTATTTTAAGATTACAGAAATGCAATGAATGTATTCTATTTTCAGTTTAATTTTCTAATTTCATGAGCAGGCTGTTTCTTGACCTAGTATACACATTCCTTTCTTGGTCACATTTAAATATAAATCCTGGATCCATGTGAACTCTTAGGTTTACCAATTACTAAATTGTAATCCCTAAGTTTTTCATGTTACAACATCTTATTGTCCATATTATGATCAGCAAATAAATATATATTACATTTAATTGTGACTGGTGGAGTGCAGCCACATTGAGCTTGTTTTCTTCTTCTTGTGATGCTGAAGCCATAACCATGGATCTCTTTTTGGTTGTTTTCTTCACCTAGGATTGCAAATATAAAACAATATGTAAGGGAAACTTTGAATTGGTTTCATTTTGGGAGTTCTTTTCAACGTTTTATACATCAAGTCTGCAGTATCAGTCATAATAGTGTTGAGCTAATTTAAGACATTTACATAATATTGTTTTATGTTTCTATATCACAGCTGATTACCAGGTGAGTATAGTGTTATCATACCTAATAGACATGGTGGAAATGGACCCAGATTGAATAAAAATGAAAGAAAATAAGGCGGTTTCTTTTCTGTCCTCCATTAGTGTGGATGTAAGAAGCTGTTATCAACTGTGACCTCCATAGTGTTGATTTCATGATAGTGTCAGTGTTTGCACATGAGTATGTATGACGATATGGCAGTTGGAGTTTGTTTGTTCAGTGGTCATTAAAGCAAAGCCAGGATATGCAGGAGTACTTGCCCACACTCCGCCACATGGAGAACAGCCAGCATGTCTGCTTCCACTTGCATGCATGACTGTTCATGGACCCAGTCCAGTTTGCTCTGTGAAGCATACAAAAAAAGCTGGTGGCACCGACCACCACTGGGGAAGCCAGGGGAGGAAAAACTATTTATTAGCTTCAAAATAGAGTGTCCATCATGAAGGCGTTGGGGGAGCGCTTCCTTTGTGCCAGGCAGTAAGGGATTTGTCAACAAACGAGGGCAAAGGAAAGAAGGTAGAATGTTGCTTTCAATTAATTTTCCATTTAAAATGATGGCTTCAAAAGGGAAGACTTTTGATTGAATGTATTAGAGCAGGAAAAAGAAGCTCCCTGTACCAAAAAACGCTTATTCTCAATGTATTACTTGATATTTAACAGTAAGAAATGAGAGCTGCTGCTATTGAAATAAAGTCATACTGTTGATATTATGGGAGTGGATTGGAGATATGTATTTATTTTCTTTAAATCAAAGACAATGGGTTCAATACAACTTCAACAATATTGCATTTTTAGTATGCTAGATAAATCCAATGACAACATTTCCTTAACATAAACAAATAGTCAACGTTATAAAAAGATATAGCCTACTAGGCTAGTTGTGATTAATGAACTAGCAAATGTACATTTTAATGAATGAAGAGAGCAAATTGCACAACTTTTAGGACATAATGATTTAAATAAGGGCTATTTAAGTGCTCATACTGTTGATCATGTTATTTGCAGATGTCTCTTTCCCACTGTACGTCCATTGGAAAACGTATTTTGTGTCCCCAATGATGTGACTGACACGGAAGTTGCAGTATCACCGTTAATTTGAATATGAAATAAAAAGCCTGGTTTAAATAAAAGCCTGGTTTCAGCCCTTTACCGGCCCATTGTAACATCAGTCTAACCGCGGTCCTTTATGCCTCAACTACCAGCACCTCCTGCAGCCCTGCAGAGCCTCTGATGCAGGGCCTGATCCCTCTAAGTCTGCTGTTTACTGGGGGTCAGAACAATAGGCCGCCAACTGTAGGATAACACACAGGCAAAAGTCAGTGCAGGGGAATAGGAAGGACCCATTATGTCCAAGCTACGGGGCGCACCGCAAACACACACTGAGAACATTACACATATTCAGCCGCAGCACAATTGGAGATGTGAAGAACTAATTATTCCTGCCCATATATGAAATCTGGGATGTATGTGGGCGTTTGCAGCATGCCGCAGGCGTGTTTGGAAGTGTTAAAATGTGTATTTATGAACAGATGAACCACAATGTGAGAAAGAATGAGAAAGAACTGCATTTATGGCATGTAAAGGTACTGAAAAGAGCTTTCTATATTTACAGTAAAATGACATTTATTGAGTTTAATGAAAGATTATGTACACAACAATATATTGCAGGGATTAGCAATACATCCTATACCCTCTCTATAGCATCCAAGGTTTTATTTCTAAGATTTTGTGAGACGACAAAACAAGAAACTCCAATTTGGAACAAATTATAGTAGGAAGCAAATCGGTCCTCACTGTTTTCAATGGCTTAAATACATTTATTTATAAGCTAGCAGTAGAATGAGGCATCACACTTAATTTCACAGTGAAATATTCATGAGGAGCTCCTGCATGTGGCATGTTTAATGTCAGCGGTGTGTCTTCCTACTGTAAAAGAGAGATAAAAGACCATCATACTGTACCGAAGGGAAGGGGGGGTGAAAATGATGTTTCCGTGAAAAAAAAGAAAAAAGAGAGACAATTTGATATTATGCTTTATAATGATGTTTGCCAGGGAAAGTGGATATACTTATTCAAGCTCCTCCATAAACACATTGTTTACTCTATAATGGCTTTAAATGTCTGCATTTCGAACAACACACAGGTGGACAAATGGTGAAAGAGATCTTCAGTTGCTATTGTCCTCGTCGGCAGATGCGCTTTTTGCCAGGATGTCATTTGGGCCGATCCATCAGAGAGCAGTAATGAGGTCTAATGTTAGAGCCCACTGTGTCCTAATGACACCTCGGCTGTCCCATCGCCCAAACCCACTCGTTCCAGCCGCAGACCCTCGCTGGGCTTCGGGCAGCTGGGACTTGACACCTGACCTTTAGAGAGACAGCCCCCTTCATCACACCCCCAACCACAGCAGGGCCGAGCCTGGTGTACGAACTGGAATGTGGCATGCAAGATATCTCAATTTGGTCAATGGTGGAAAAGTGCTTCTGTTATTTAGATAGAGATGTAAAAGGACCATGATCATTGTATATTTCTGAATGAGATGACTACATCAATCATCGTATCCAATACTATGATGGATGGCGCTATTCCCATTGTCTACAGCATCATTAAAGGTATCACAACAACAAGTGAAAATACCTGGCATTTGTTATAGAACACAGCTTTTAATGAGGGTCATTTGGAGGGGACAATATGGCAACAATAAGAAGGGCTCTCTTTCAGAGGCTGTTTTAAAAAATATGTGGCGTTCAAGGCAAGGTTCAAGGCTTTTATTAGTCATACGTACATAGCTAGTGTAGTTATGACGATGAAAATATTAGGTCACAGGCTCCACCAACAGTGCAACACAATACAAACAGAAAAACTGGAAAAATAGTGCAAGTAAATACAAAAAGAAAAATAGTAAAATATTCAGATATAATCCCAAGTGGAATGGATTCATTATTACCCTTTCACAAAGTCTCGTGAAAATCCGGCAAAATATTTTTCTTTGTTCCTGCTGACAACCATCAAATCAAAAACATCAACAACAGAACTACAAATAATGTTGGAATTAATCTTAGGCTGCGTTTATTATGAGGAAAAATCATGTCCTGGTTGTAATGAATATCTAAGAATGTGCATGGATGGACGTTGTTTCTATGCATGATTCTCTCATTGAGGATGAATACTACACAAGGACTCCAGCATTCCAGAATAAAGCGATGGAGAGATGAAAATGATACAAATATAAAACAATGGAAGGAACAGCATTTTCCCCACTGTTTGGGAACACAGACATAAGAAAGGAGAGCGGTGGAAATGTGCCGGTCTGAGGTTTAACCCAAAGAGTCGTTTGGTGAATTTGTGCATTTGAGCCGAGCAAAGCAGCAGCTAGCCGAGACCTGGCACCCTGCTAAATGCAAGGCTGAGCTCATTAGGACTGGCCCAACATCACACACAATCACACCCACGCTCACACACACACACACACACACACACACACACACACACACACACACACACACACACACACACACACACACACACACACACACACACACACACTGGTGTGTGTGTGTGTGTGTGTGTGTGTGTGTGTGTGTGTGTGTGTGTGTGTGTGTGTGTGTGTGTGTGTGTGTGTGTGTGTGTGTGTGTGTGTGAGCGTGGGTNACCTTTGAAAATGCCGTTTAATCTTTTTAATAACCTTCATTTTCGCAATTGGATTTGCAACTGGTAATACTTTTTTAAGACCCCCGCGGCACCCTGGATTGTAACTTTAATCTGAAAATGAAACAATTGAACAGGAGATAGATCTACCTGTCATCAGAGCTCCCAACGGCTCCTGGACCAGGACCCATTCTAGCATCCAAGCACTAAAGAAAGATGGTCGTTTAGGGTTGTCTTCACTATACAACTAAGATGTATTTGTAACAAGTAAAATAAAAAAGCAGTTTCTAAAGGCAGGAACATATCATATAAAAGGTAAACTAATGCAAGGTTAAACGATAGTGGAAAGTATTTTTGGTTTATGGTCTTTCTCCTGGTAGCCTCATCCACAGCAGGACTTAGATCCGTAAAAAGAGAAACAAATGGGAGAGATGGTAGGATGCACACACAACAAGGAAGGTGCGTTCTGGTCCACTTGATATTTTAAAAGGTGACGCCACTCAAATTAACAACACACATTTTCCTTACTCTGCTGCATTCTCATTTAGATAGTTTTAGATCTAAAAATAGACCACGGGTCCTTGTGGATGATTACAGTCCGTGAGCACTGACGGTAACATCAGGCCGGGTTAAAGGTAAGGAAAGTTAAGTGCATGTGATGGTTGATGACGGTAGTAGTGTCTCTTCTTCAGATGTGTTACAGTAAAACAGCCATGTTGTTGTCTCACCTGAGCAGGAGCCCTGCATGGCTATCCTCTGCTTCTGACCACCTGAGAAACAAACACAAGTTACCTTGTAACACACACAAAGGCTGTAGATGTTTATGTGCTCTGTGTCAATTATGCGAAAAAGACTCGACTAACATGTTTCAGTTGAGACAACAACTTTTATGACCAAAAAAATGATTGAGTAGGGTAGGTGAGAATGGAGAACCAGCTCGAGTACGATGACGAAAAAAATCGCCCCTTCCTTCAGACTTCCTTACAGAGCCCCTCCTCCAACACACACGAACGCGCACATGACCAATGAGAGCACGAGATAAGTTTGTGCACAGATGGAAGGCAGATGACATTTTTTAATGTATTTATTGTCAAAGCACTTCAGATATTCATTGCTATCGGGATGTTAAGAGCAGTCCATGGAATATAACAAAAAGTGTATCTGAAGTAAATGACCTACGACACCTTTAACTTGGGGTTAAAAAAACTTGCTAAATACTTTTTAGACTTGGAAACATTAAATGGACCAGTCTTTCTAAAATGTAAAACAACTAAAAATATTGCAAATTAAATTACAGTTAATATAAAGCAGTATTGAATTGAAATAACCCTTTGAAAAAAAGGAATAAAGAACCCTTACCATAACCTGAACATGTACTGATTTGCAATTGTATGTACAATGGCAGCCAGGCCGGGTTGCCTCTTTAGGGAAGGTGGTATGTCATCTTTGGTATCATTAACCCAGCCGCCTGCTTTCAACATCTTCAGTTGTGTAGTTGTTGTGATCACACCTCTGTGTTGTTTCTCACCTGACAGCAGCACCCCCTTCTCCCCCACCACAGTGTTGAAGCCGTTGGGGAAATCCTGGATGAAGTTGAAGGCGTTGGCGGCTCTTGCTGCCCCGTAGATTTCCTCTGTGGTCACAGCTTCTGGATCCACTGCACCGTAAGCTATATTATCTCTTATAGAGTAGGAAAACAGCACGGGCTCCTGGGAGACAAGCAGGGAGACAAACTTCACTCAATATTTGATTGACTTGAAGTTAATAGAAATGCACATTATGCTCAGATTATGCGTGAGCTGTCAGATCTGTTGTATAGGAACTGGCTAGTTAAATGCACAATAAGTGATTTCCTGTTGATAGGGGACTCTTAATCATAACAATAACAAAAGAGGAAGCTCGTAAAGTCATGAAGTAGCGTGGGATCATTTACTGGGAGCTGCTTTCACCTCTCTAAAACATTTGGTGAATAAAACAGGTAAAAAAAAAAAAATAAAGTTATTAAATTGAAAATATCTCAGTTTCTCTCACCCGGTTGGACTCCAGCTAAAGCCTTCTTTTCTGATATTTTAAGATCTAGATAGTTTGATGACTAAAGTATTTGATTAAGTAAACACATAATTAGCTAAATCCCAGATCTAATAACTGTATTGCAAAAATATGACTTAAAACTGGACAAAAAGTCAACGGCCGCTTCTACCAGACAACCACAACGCTGCCATACACAAAAGGGATACAATACGAGCATTACAAAAATTATCTAAGTTTGGAAATTGTTGTAGACATTTAGGATAATGTAAGTTCGCTGCTCTAATAAATATATAACATTTTAGTTTAGTCATTTTTAGACTTTTTAATGAAGAAACGTTACATTTGATACCTTTAAAGTTTAGCTTATTACCTGGCTGACAGTTCCAATGTGACTCCTGAGCCAATAGGGATTCAGGTCTCTGATGTCGTGACCATCGATTGTTATAGTACCTGGAGAAAATGGGTTATTTTATAAAAGTTTAAACATCTATCTGACAGAGGTTTGTACTTTAAGTTTGTCATCAACAGATTTTTCAAGACGTCCGATTACATATTAGACAGACCAATAATTCTCACCAGAGTTGCAGTCGTACAGCCGGAGCAGCAGGGACACCAGGGTGGATTTCCCCGAGCCGCTGGGTCCCACCACGGCCATGACGGTGCCCGCGGGGACCAGCAGGCTGAGGTCCTGGAAGATAGGGGCCTCAGTGCGGGTCGGGTAGGCAAAGGAGACCTCAGAGAACTCCAATCGCCCTTTCAGCTGGTCTGCAGAGAGCATGAGACCCTCTGAGGAGGAGCACAGACACAAAGAGAGAACCAATATGTATCTTACTCCAATGGTTTAATACAGGCATACAACACAAAGGGGGAAATGAGGAGAAAATAAATCAATTCAAACGGGAAGAAAAGTAGATTATTTGATGTTAATATTTAACTAAATGTAGATATTATCGTGATTCAAAGAACAACGGAAATAGACATTAGTTAGATTTATCACACTATATGGATCATAACCTATTTTCTTTTTTATTCTATACATTTATTTTTCTTGAAACTGAATTGCAAAACAATCTTTCTAATTCGTTTTTTCTTTCTAAAAGGTAAAGGATGGTTATTGATGTTAAGGTCCTTTTGCTTCTTACTTCTTCTGCACAATGTTTAAACTACAATTCTAACGCTCGTCATTCATCTACGTGTGCAATGTGGGAACAAACTAAACCAAAACCCTCCAGTCTGTGTGCGTGTGCGTGTGCGTGTGTGTGTGTGTGTGTGTGTGTGTGTGTGTGTGTGTGTGTGTGTGTGTGTGTGTGTGTGTGTGTGTGTGTGTGTGTGTGTGTGTGTGTGTGTGTGTGTGCGCGCTAACCATTAAGAGGAAACTCTGGTTTTCGGTCCAGCAGCTCCCACAGTCTGGATCCTGCTCCGAATCCTTTCATCAGCTCAGAGTAGAAGGAACTCAGACCTGTAGATGAAGCAGAAGAACAAGCCGTCACACACACACATTTCACACAGATGTTAACATTACAGATGAGGATAAACAAGTGCTAATGCTGTATGTGTGTATTACCTGCAATGCTGATGCCCACCCAGAAGGTGTACATGAGGAAGGCTGACAGCTCCCCCACAGTCATGTGCTGGCTGGCCATCAGCAGGCCTCCCTTGTAGAGCACTGACAGGATCATGATGTTCCCACTGAGCCCGGTCTGAAACACACATGCACACGCACACCCTCTGGTTATTTGATTACTCCAACATCTGGCATCACTACTACTTCCTGACACAGCGCTGATTAAACGGATTGCTGCCCATTAGGGAAACTGCTGTTGAACTATAGTTCACTGAGCCTGGAGATTAGTATGTATCTGATAACATCTGAACTAGAGAAACAGGAAATGTAGGTAGAATTATATCATTCACAAAGAGCTTATTTCTTTATCAGATTGAATTGCCAGTTTATTAGAGATGCCTAACTAAACCTTGTCCAATACAAAAGCCAACAATTGGTACCTAGCTTATCATACTGTAGGTTATTGTTCTCAGTGTTTAGATGATTTAGTGATTATTACATTCATTGGACATTTTGATTTGTAGTGGAGTGCGGAGGATGATTTGCACAGCATGAGGAAAGAAGCTGCTCTGTAGTCAGGCGGTGCGACAGCAGACACTCTGACCGTGTACGGAGGATTGGATAATGCTTCTTTGTGGTTTAACATCTGTCATTAACATAAGTGTCAGGTACTGTGGTGTCGTGACGAAACAGGTGCAAAAAAGCAGAAGCCCCTGTGCAATATTTCACATCCTAACTGTGGATTTGGTTTGCTTCACTGACAGGAAACACACAGATGCACACACACTTACCACTCCAAAGAAGCCAGCCCGTAGTACAGCTTCCTTCCTGGCCAGCTTGAGGACCTGGTCTGTCTTCTCTGTGTATGTGTTGACCTCAGACAGCTCTTTGCCAAAAGCCCTGACTGTCCGCATGTTGCTGATACGCTCCTCTGCCAACTACACACACGGGCAAAACATTTATTACAACTTGATCTGTTCGAACTCAGATCAGTTTCAGAGAATCTGCACATTTAATTAAGATGCCCCAGGCAGTGCAACATTAATCAGATGGACATAAAAGTCAAGAATAGAAAAACAGTATAGCTTCACTAACCAATAATATGAAGCCATGTTTACAGAATAGAACTTCACTGAACTTATACAAAAGGTAGATGAACTTGGTTTATTGACACAACAAATTTGCAATCACATTTTGTCACAGCTTCCTTGTTTTTATTTACCACATCCTCAAATAATGTCTTATTTGTTAGCGCTGTAGAACATCTGACAACAACGAACACCAAAAATGTCATTATGAAACTATTAAATACAAAGAAAGAAATAAGAAATGTGCTCTGCTGTGTTTCTGTGCACTGTACCTCTGTGGCTTGTGCGAGTGCGTCCTGTGTGCTTTTGGAGATGGAGCGAAGGTGTCTGCCATAAACCACAGCAAGACCAGCCAGAGGAGGAACAATCAGCAACACGAAACTTGCAAGACTGGGAGAGACATAAAACTATAGGAGGAGAAAGAAGAAAAAACAGAAGTTACTGTAACGGACGGGTAAGGTAAGACAGAAGTGGGAGGGAGGAGGGGAGGAGGGAAGCAGAGGAGGAAGACAGAAGGAAAATGTTGCACCAAACTATCCTAATCAGTAATTACAGCAAATACTTTCATTCATTTCCTTGAACGTTCGTTATACCAGCAAATCATTTTACTTCCTTGTGATTGACTGGTAGTCGTGAGCTTGCATTGTTATATGGTTTTCTGTTCGGGAAAGTACAGATAGAAGGAAGGTAACGGACCTGTTGAACAACAAATCTCACATCACTGTTAAAGAAGAGATAATGAAACTGGTGACAGAACGTCGTCACATGAGCGTCATTTAGATGAAAGCCCAGGAAATATCATCAGTTGAACTTTGTGAGTTTACAGGTAAGTGACCTTTTACACAATGCTTTGTGTCTCTGGGTGTGGCCGTCAGTCAATAGACTGTATCCTTTTCTTTGAAAATAAGTAAATCTGTAAAGATGTTTCCCAACAGCTCAGAACAGAAAGGAAGACATGGAAAAAGAAACCAAAGACATAACTATAACTATTTCTTTGTACTGAACAACATAACTCTACATTCAGACACCTTACTCTGCAGTAGAGTTGAGACTAAGGGTTATTTTGATGATGGATTAGTCTGCCGGTTGTGTTTCAATGAATGGTTATATCTATAAACTGTCAGTGAATAGTGAAAAATGGCCATCACATATTCCAGAAGTCCAGATTTCAGTCAAAACCCCAAAGAAATGCATTTGAAGTCCCTTATGTCCCTGTACTGAAAAACAACTACTGTATATACCATTCACACTAATCAGATAATTTAATTGTGCCCTCCTCAGCAAAACGTATTGTTAAATAAATGTAACCTTTGTTTTATGTTGTTTTTTAATGTAATATTTATGGCATTATAACTGTATTATACTCAACTCAAGGCATATTTGAATTATTCCTAATTGTAGCCATAATTGTGATGTTTCCTTAGGTGTCACCAACTCCTTAAAGGTCTCCTATCATACTGTTTTTCATAAATATAATTGTAGGTCTCCGATATATACAAAACATGTCTCTGAAGTGTTTGGCTCCAAACACCAAACAGATCATTGCAGCATTACCCATAATCCCCTCTGTTTCAGCCCTGTTTCAAAAGGGCTGATTCTCTGTCTGTTACTTTAGATGAAAATAAGGAGCCACTCCCCACGCCCCTCTGAGAGATATCTGGTTAAAAAGAACACAATGGTGCTAGAAGGAGATTCAGGTGATAAGGTGTGTGGGGGGGGGGTTACCTTGGTTGCTGATTGGCTAATGGTTACACAAGCCAAAACATCGTTATGACATCATAAAGTGGCCAAACTCTGATCAGCTCATTTTCAGACAGGTTTTTATATAAATGGATCAGGACAAAAAGTGAGAGAATCTTTTTTCCTGAAACGTTCAGAATCTCTTTACACAGAGAGGACACATGGTTTTTTATAAGAGACATGAAAAAGTGGATTTGGCACAATAGGTGAACTTTAAAACGGCTTGGGCTTCAGAGGGTCAACAGCAAGAAAGACAGTTGGTGCTTGCAACTAAAGTTTTTTAGACCCTCTAGTTACACAATATCTCAAACATTTATTTCAAACGATCAATGTATCATAAAGGAAACATATTCCTTCCTTATTCAAATCTGTCCTGCCCGCCCACAGCAGACCCCCGGAGGGTTACACTCACCATCATACTGACTCCAGCAGCGGCCTGGGCGACGGCTCTCAGCCCGTCGGACAGGTTGTCGGTGATGGAGCGGCCCACCACGGCCGTGTCAGCAGAGAGGCGGTTGATAAGCTCTCCGGTCCTATTCCTGTCAAAAAAAGCCACTTCCTGTCTGAGGATGGAGGAGAAGAGGGAGGCACGGAGATTACGAACTATCTGTTGGCCTGAAAAGAGAAGACAATAGACATTAGTGAGGAAGATAAAGATAGGAGACTGTTGCAAAGAGAAACCTCACTTTCACTTGATTCATTAATACTCCAGGCAGTCATTCAGTCAAAATAATAATTGTGTTGCTCACAGCTTAATACATGTGGATAGTTGCACATATTAAATAACATTTGTGAAAAAATAACAACAGGCTCTTTTAACATGTGAAGTGGCATTTGTCATTGCCAGAACAACTATAGGAACTGGGACATGTTCATAAAAACTGATGACACAAGGACCTGACAAATTGTTTGTGATGTTTTAGACCCTATACTATACTATATAGCCCCTGAAGCAAAATACACATTTATTAGATTCATTCATACCAAATGCAATAGCTGCTACATTTGTAAACAGCATTCACATTGAAACCATGTCCATGTTATTGTCGTCTGTACATGTTGTGTTATTTATTGTATGTGTTCTGATTCACTATGATGTGTTCAACCAACCATTGAAGCAGAAGGCATATTTCCACATTTGAGGACCATAAATATTCTTCTTATTCCTGACATCAGCTCATTGATGCGGACATCAGTGAGTTTTAATTTAGTGCTGGCTGGATGAACCCTGTAGTGATCTTGTGAGTCAACATTTGTCTCTGTAGATTATTTGGCTCTCTTTCTCACCTGATGTCTGCATGAGGTAGACTCTGGCAGCGTTGGCAGCCCCTCCACAGAGGAACACCCCCGTCATCATGATACATAATGATGTGAGGGAGGCGGTCATTGTCTCTGTGTCTGCTCCAGCAGTATAAATGGTGTCAATCACTTTACCCAGGAGGAATGGGGCTGACATGGTAACTCCACTGGATACAGTCAGGAAGCCAAGAGCAGCTGAGGTGGGAACAGGAAAAGACAGTATGACAGATCAATGAAATTAAAAGAAATGATTGTAGAAAGCAAAACCAGGGGCTACAATGTATAATAGGAAGGTTTATCTTCATGTTTTAAAAAGGTTACCATGTAAAACCCGATGAAAGATACTTGAAGGGGTTTTTCCAACCTTGGGAGTACTTTAATAGATGAGACTAGCAGCCTGTGCCAGGTGATGAATACAGTTTGACTCAATGTAGACATTTCTTATCTGGGAAAACCTATTTCTTAAGGTCAGAGCAGGTTTTCTGAAGTGACTGCCATTTTTGTTTTTGTTTAATATTGCTGTACCTCGGGTGTCAAAAAAACAAAGTGTATATTTCTCATATGGTTATACTTTGATCTTGTACTGCTTTGGTTTTTACATTTCCTTAAAAATATGAAAACAACAACAATATTTGTATACAAAACCAGGTGGAACAAGAAGAGATATTTAGTTATTCCTGTGCGGATTAAAAACAAATCTTTCTCCTGCATGGTCAGATAAAATGATGTTTTAAAAAATGTAGCCTTGCACACATTCCCTCCTATATTTAGGCGAGGCACATCCAGATAACAAATACAAGAATGGAAACACTGAAGAGTTTCACTGTGTAAACTCCAAAATCTGTGTTGGACTGACGACAGTGAATAGATTTTTTAGTAAAATACTAAAAGTTTAGTTTTAACCAAATGTGCAGACACTCTCCACTTATTCTTAACCATTGTTAACATTTTAAAACTGTTAACATTAAGTACAGTACTTGAGTAAATGTACTTTATGACATTCCAGCACTGCTTGTAAATGAGTATTTCTACAGTGTGGTAGTGCTAGTTTTACAGGTAAGTATAAGTGGATTCTCAGTGTATACCGACCTGCCAGTTTCCATCTCTCCGGGTGAGCTAGTTTCAAAATCCTTTTCACATCCTCCAGAGGGACCGTGGTGGAGGTCTGTTCGCCCTCTGTGTCCGCCTGGGTCTTCACTTGTCCGGCTGGTGTCGGTGTGGAGGCGGCCGAAGAGCTGGCAAAGGCAACATGTGTGTTTGTGACTGTCCGTGCTTGTGGACTGAGAATGGAGAGGCCTCTGAGGGGACTGCAGGGCAGGACGGACACGAAGAGCCCCGGGGAGCAGAGCGGGAAGGCCGGGTGGGCTGAGGACTTGACCCCGGTAAACTGCCTCTTCCTCCGGGGGGCGGCTGAGAGAGTTAGCCGGTGATCCAGCCACAACATCCTCGGCTGTGTTAGCTTGAATTTGGATACTCCATGAGAGCACCTTGACATGCGGTTTAAAAGCCTCATCGTCCGAGTTTAACTGTTAATACAAGCTCAAAAAAAATAAAGACAAGTATTTTCCTAGTTAGTAAATCAGTGATAAATGGAGGCCAGGTGTCTGTTGTTGAGTAAGTCCACTTGCATGGTTAGTCCCCAAGTCGGTAGGTCAACGAACCGTATCCATAGTGATCAGTTGTAGCGCCTCTCCCCGCTACATCCTCGAGTTTTAACCGTTATTGTGTGTTTTATCTGCGCCTGACAGCCCCGGGTTATCTCTTATTATCACCGAGCAGCTAACAACACCCTGCTGTCACTCTCATATGTCGCTCAATATGTAGCTTGACAGGCGGGCCAAGTGGAAACAGAAGCTACCGAAGAACGACTAGCACCACATCCACTCTGAGAAATACAGCTTGTTTTCATAGAAAGAGTCTAAATGGGTAAGAACCAGAAAGGTGACCCTGGTTTGGTTGTCATGTATTCACAATTCCTCCTCCTCGACCGACGGTTGAATTCAATGGCTGACGATACAAGCAAACTTTCCCAGGCACAACCAAGCGAGCACAGATCACCAATGAATAGTGTTTAGGGAACTTCTCTTTTTTTTTTTCACTTGGTTGAGCAAATTCCACCTACTCACTCATTTTTACAATAGAAAAATACAGCAAAACATGCATTCAATCATGCCAGAGGGAAAACTACAGACACACTTGTTTATAGTAAATATTCGGTGGTTATTTTTCTATAATTTAGAAGCAGTTTAACTCCATGTTGTACGAGTGTGTAAGTAGCTACATTAATATTAATCTAATATAATAAATTAGATTAGATATTGATATTTATAGTTATTGATCCCAATTTGGGAATTTATTTTGTCACAGCACCATGTAGATAAAAATATATCAACAGTAGAAAATAAACAAAACAGAAAATATATAGATATATATAGTGAATTATACTTATAAAGTGTATCTATTGAATACACAATATAAATATACAGAATTAATAATGATATATTGACATTTATGTAGTGAAATTACTATTTTAAACCTTTTTTATATGTCTTTTTCGTTGTTTGGATTACTTTTTCTAAGTTGCTTTAGTTGATCAAACTACACATCTCTCTCGGGCCTTGGGTTACTTTTCTGTAGTTCATCTTCTTCCAGTGTGAAGTAAATGGTACTGTATCTGGAAAACAATAAGAAAGAAAGAAATAAAAGACGTCACTTAATTAATTATAAAAAGAAAAGGGAGTCACATTTAATCTACTTTTCATTCTTAAATAATTACTTTTTAACACTGCCTCTTTAAATCGTCTATCGATTGCTCGTGCCTTCAGGGTGAAAGTTGAAAGTTCGTCTACATCTGAAAACAGGAGACACGTGCGGGTTGAAAAGTCGTAAGTCTGATAAACTCAGTCACCACAAATGCATTTAACTATCCTTAAACAATGTTTAATTAAAGCTCATTGATTGTTTGCGTGCGTGTTGACGAGAAGCAGCTCCAGTAGTTTACTTTGACTTTAGCAGGAAGATGCTAACGTCAGATGTCTTAGCTATAACCACGCATGTCGGTGTTAAAGCTTGTTTTCATTATGCTATCTGATGAAATGACACATATTTGCCTTTGCGTTTAACTTTTAACGATATATTGTTGAAAATGTGTGTCTGTGTATGCTTACCTGGCTGAAGTTAAGTGCCATCAGTTAAAGGTGTTTTTTTATTTTATGTTTAAAACACCGGTTTCCATGGTCTTTTTATTATAGATGTCATACACTCTTCTCTTGTCTCTCACCCAAGTTGTGTATCACTGCTAGAGAGTGGTGGAGGAAGTACTTCGACCTTTTACTTAAATAAAAGTAATTAAAAACGCTGCAATGTTTACTTAAAGAAAAGTACAAACGTATTGACACCCACATATACTTCTTAATAAATACCAAATAAATACATTAAAAGCAGAACTTATACAGAATGGCCCATTTCAGAATTAGGTTTATTATGTTATTGAATTGTAATGATTGATGCATACATTTCACTTAGTTATGCATATTGTAAAGGTAGGGCTCATATTAACTATTTACTTTGTATCCTGGGTAGCTTGTGAATTTCCCCAAAGGAATAACACTTCTAAAACTCGTCTTCTCCCTCCCCTCTCTTCAGACCTGTGCAGCAGTAGCACCATCTGCAGAGATGGCGGCCATCTACTCAGGTATCCATCTGAAACTGAAGAGTCCTCATACTCAATGGGAGGACAAGCTAAAGCTGGCCCGTTTTGCCTGGATCTCCACTCAGTGCCTGCTCCCCAACAAGGAACAGGTAACCACTGTTATGTTACAGGTGTTTGTGTCTTCACAGAATGACAGTGGTTGCTGTTGTTTTTAGATGTTCTGTGTTTACTGTGAGAAGTGCCTACTGTAGTTTATTATCTGACAAAACCCATAATGTACAGTATAATCAATCATAATCAAAGACCGGTACCAATTGTCTACACCAGGCCTATTCAACTGGCGGCCCGCGGGCCAGATGCGGTCCAGAACCAACTCCCGAGTGGCCCAGCCTCCCGTAGCCAAATTCCTACACTAGTACAGACCATGAACGCAACACTCCGCGTTGCATAGAAACCACCAAACCACAACGCAGCACGTTTTTTGAAAGTGCATCTAGTGGTGCTAGTAACGGTGGTCCTATGATAGCAACTCTAAAACATGTCTCTCTCAACTCTGAAGCGTAAACAGAGACAAATGAATGTCTGGCCCAGCTGAATTTTGTAGTTATAAAATCTGGCTCAACTGAATGTGTAATTGAATAGCCCTGGTCTACACTTAAAGAGCAGCAAATCGTTTTGTTAATTATGTTATTTACATTATCTGCAGATTATATGTGTCCTACAGTACACCTTTATTCCAATAAAGCCTTTTTTGAAATGTATTAATTTTAGCAGTGCTGTAGTCTTTTTTTCTTTTGGATTGCTTTTGGAGGTACTTTTAAGACTTTGGCATGAATCTTAGTGCATGTTTTTCGACCAAATGTACCCTTAAGGTAATGTACAGTGCTATATTTTCTATTTCCATTCATTAATTGGACAAGTTTATGATAAATAATCTCTGTGTCATTTCAGATGTACATGAGTAATTCATATTGTCTGTTTTGAATTATTTGAAAGCAGCTTATACATGTCCACCATGTACTCTGTCTCGGCCCTCTTCACATGTAGGTGCTGTTGGACTGGTGCACCCACGCTCTGACGGGCCGGTACAACCAGAAGGTGGAGTTTTCTGAGGATGTTCTTGAAGGACTGTGGTGTTACCTTGACGATCTTCTTCACAGCAAGAAGCTCCACTCTCTTCTGAAGCAGGGCAAGACCGTCAGCCTGAGGCTCAACATGGCACAGGTGTGCTGCAGATACTTTCATAAGAACACCAGCACACATGTACACCCTTTTTGCCTCACCTTAAAAATAAATGACTCTGGTGTGTTTCTCGCACATACGATTAGATGCTTTGGCTGCAGAGCATTCCTACTCTACAAACATGGTGTGTTGAGATTGAAATATGAGGATTTTACTGACAAACCTTTTTTCTTTTTATCTCTAGCTGCTGCTTGACCGTCTCCAGGAATGTGCACGTGTTGGCTCTAAGTCTCCGGTGTGTGTGTCCACCATCCTCAGTGTGTGTCAGGGCCTCTTCTCTTCCCCTGCGCTCTCGTCTGTCTTCACCACAAAGTATGATCTCATAGTTGATCTCCTGGCTAAGCTCTGCTCTCTGGCCTGCTGTGAGCTTCAACAGCCATTGCTCACAGAGCCCTTAGTGACAGAATCTGTCACATGTGGGGATGAAGTGATGACTGAGAGTCATCAAATCGATTTGGACCATTCCCAAATTGATCCGATAACTGAAAATCCTCCAGTTGAGCCTGAGTTAGACGCTAATAAACCCCCTGCCAAGCCAAAGGAAAATGTCCGCTCAGCTAATTTGTTTGATGTCTTGCTTCAAGTGCTGTCATGTTATTTGTCTGTCCAGCGACAACAAGCCAATCCCAACAGAGTCTCTACCATGGTAACCAACCAACTGATCCAACCTTTAGTATTACTTCGACACCTGCTTACCTCTGGGGAATTTGCTGCTGCTCACACACACCTGCGCCTCCGTCAGCAGCTGTCCAGAGACGTCCGCATCAAGATTGACTCCATTCTCCAGTTAGCTCTGTTCCCCTCGGAGCACCTGACCGCCTACAAGGACGAGCTTCTTCCATCTAAAGAAGAGTCTGGGAAACGCGGTCCTGGAGGCGCAAAAGGCCCCTTAAAGCCAGTCAGTGCAATACTCTCCAAACTGAGTGCTCCAGGATACTGTGAGCCGGCCCTCCACTACACTGTGAAGTCCAACACAATGTCTCTGCTGTTTAAGTTCTTTGTGGAAAGCTACGGAAAAGGGAGAGGAGAAAGTGATGAAACACACAGGATGCTGTGTTTTTATTTCCTCACCAGATTGGTCCCAACCTTGGATATGCATCTCGATGAAAACTCCCCTGCCAAAGCAGACCAGCCAGTTCCTGTTACCCCGGGGCAGAAGTCTCCCCCATCCTCCCCCGGTCCCCCAGAGAGCTGGAGCCTGGCTCTGCTGGCGGTGGAGTCCCTGCTGAACCAGACTCTGTCAGCTGATATTTACAATGTAGCAGCAGACCGGATCAGACATGCAGAGGTCCAACTCAAGTTTTACGGAGCTCTGGGACAAATGCTCTTCAACCACGCCCAGCCAAGGTAAACCAAAACTCCTTGATGTATTCAGTTAAAGGTGGAGTCTGTGATTCTGGAGAAAGTCTGTAGCTATTTGAACAACAGTTTGCTCTCCTTTTGGCCGGCAAGCAAATCAAGGCACACTCCTGTATTGGCTGGAGCCTTTAAAAAAACAGCAATTTAACCGCACCATCACTTATATTTAAAAAACCTCATTTATTTACGACATTAAGCCAAGCTTTATTCAAAAAGTCATAAAAAAGCTTTGAGTGTAAAATAAAAAGTGTAAACCTTTGAAGTGTGACCTTTTTCTTTGTTAAATTGTTGTTATCTTTTCCTTTTATCCTTCAGCATCCCGGCATGGTACCGCTGTTTAAAAGCGCTGTTGAGTCTCAACCATCTGATTATTGAACCAGACCTGGACCAGCTGTTATCTTCAGCCTGGGTTGACTCTGAATGCATGGAAGCACGAGTGCAACGGGCCAGACAGGTTTTTACATTTAATCCTAAAGGACCTGTGTATTTCAGAAAAGAAAACTCAACTTGCGAATGCAGGATTACAAATGTGTGAGACATTAGTTTTGACTGAGACCAAATGTTTGTTTCCCAACAGCTCCTGGTGTGCAGTCTCCTCCAGACGTACACTAAGCTCCGTCAGCTGCCTCGCTTCTTCTCCGAGCTCTTGACTGTGATCTGTCAGCCAGCATCAGACAACCTCCGACCTCCTCTGCTCTCTGAGGGCGCCTCCGCCT